CATTGGTGGATAGAGCAAGACATGATGTCCCAGATGTGCTCAATTGGATTCAGGTCTGGGAAACAGGCGGGCCAGTCCATAGCATCAATGGCTTTGTCTTGCAGGAACTGCTGACACACTCCAGCCACATGAGGTCTAGCATTGTCTTACATTAGGAGGAACCCAGGGCCACCATATAGTCTCACAAGGGGTCTCAGGATCTCATCTTGGTACCTAATGGCAGTCAGGCTACCTCTGGCGAGAACATGGAGGGTTGTTCGGCCCCCTAAAGAAATGCCACCCTACACCATTACTGACCCACTGCCAAACTGGTCATGCTGGAGGATGTTGCAGGCAGCAGAACGTTCTCCACGGCGTCTCCAGACCCTGTTACGTCTGTCACATGTGCTCAGTGTGAACCTGCTTTCATCTGTGAAGAGCACAGGGCGCCATTGGCGAATTTGCCAATCTTGGTGTTCTCTGGCAAATGAACAAATATAGCATGTATGAGGTAAGGCCCTAAGTTCTTGGACTAGCAGAAGAAGCTTGATTTAGTGGATAAGGCACCAGGCTAGAAACCAGGAGACAGTGAATTCTATTCCTGTCTTGGGCATGAAAGCTAGTTAGGTGACTGGCTAGTCAGTCTCTCAGCCCAACTACCTCCCAGCCTCGTTGTGGGAAAATAGGAGGAAGCAGTATTAGATACAGAGAGCCTTGACTTAGAACCCATTTGTTTAATGACCGTTCTAATTTACAATGGCACTGAAAAAAATTATGACCAGTCCTTGTGCTTACAACCACCACAGCATCCCTAGGGTCACCTTATGAAAAGTCAGGTACTTGTCAATTGGCATGTATTTATAATGGCTGCAGCATCCTTAGATTATGTGATCATTATGTGCAACTTTCTTAGACAATGTACGACAAATTCAGTGGGAGAAGGTGGATATACTGTGGGTATAACTGTGATATACTTAACAATGACAAAAATGATTGTAAAATTGGGTACAACTCATGTAATGACTGTTTCAGTAACAGACGTTCTTGTCCCAATTGTGGTGGTTAATCACTGACTACTTGCATGTTGCTGCCTTGACTTATTTATAAAAATTACAGTGTTGGGATATGAATAAGTAAATATAAAATAAAAAGTTCTTTAGGTGAAACATTCTGAGTAATAATACATTTGCTTAATTTCTTTTTGTTAATTGCCTCTGAATAATAAGAAAACTAAAAATATTTGTAATTGGAAGCAGTGCTTTGACTACTATTGCAATATATCTATATAAGCATTCCAAGAAATCAATCCATCTTTTATTATGGGACATATATGTAGGAATTAACAGTGTTCAGGCTTGTTAAATTAAGAAAACAGAACCAGGTACAGCATACACACGCTTAGGATGAAACAACAGAATGTGTCTATAAATTTGTACTGTAAGAATTATAATTTCTACTGTTACTGCCAAATACATGGTTTACATATTGTGAGTGTGATGCCAAATGATTAAAGCCAAATAGTTGCTAAATAGTTACTTAATTTATTATAGTAACACTTCATAAAAATGGTATAAATGTAACACTATATACACTATTTACTCTGTTAAAAATGTACTTCAATTTTTATCAAGAAAACCCCACTGGGTGGAAGTATGGAGCTGAATTTCACCAATTTGTACTCAGTAGTTCAATAGAACCAATGAAATCAGATAAAAATATTCACTTGTGTTGAAATACAGTATAGGAATTTTTGAGCAGCTTCCATTTAATAAACATGATATATTTTTAAAAGACTGCCTAAAATGGGTATATCAAAGAGGTGTTTCTTCTTCAGATGCTTTATGCTCTTAGGGAAATCATTAGAGCTATGCAATGCTTTTGATTTGATGTCAAAAATGTGCTTGGAGCATGATTACACTTTTTTTTAAAAAAGCAGCTACATTTTAAAAGAACTCCAGACAAGTGCTATATTTGTACACCCACATGCCCTGAAACGTTTTCTAGGAATCATACCTAGAAGTATTCCACAGCCTTCTTAAATCTAATTTACAGTAACAAAAGAATATAGGGAATGATACTGGGAGCCGTTTCCTTGGCAGTTTACTTTCATTCTATTCTATGTTTACAGTGATACATTGCTCTGTTCAAGAAATTGCATAATTATTTTTGTCATATAAATGCTTTCCAATCATTGAGTCATTTTCATCAACTAATATGCCATACCAAGTGTATTAGATGATAAGTATTTTAGTAGTTCAATCATGGAATTCTGTGATTGCCACATTTTTATTATATTCAAGGCCTGAATGGCCCTTTTAGCAATTGCCTTTTCACAGTATCCATGGCAAAGTGAGGTAACATATGATTGCTGGAGGAATTAACTGGAGAGGAAAGACAAGAAAAGAGCAAAGAATGAAAAACCAATGACTACACCGGTTCTTTGAAATGCCCCTGGAGAGGAGAGGGTGGAAGATCACCCAGATGTGCTCTAGATAGCTGCTTCTTATGAGTACACCACAGGATAGCTGTTTTCCTCAATTGGAGTGCCCCAACATGAAAAGATCAATCAAGCTCACAACGGCAGCAGGACTTTTTAAAGGACACTAGGTTGCTCATCTTGCTTTTAATCACTTTCAGAAATCTAACTATCTTGCAGTTAATTACCTAACCATCTTAAAGCTATTAGAAATCTTTGGAATGACATTCTAAAAGTTACCTACTGTATATACTCGAGTATAGGCCGACCCGAATATAAGCCGAGGCACCTAATTTTACCACAAATAACTTGACTCGAGTATAAGCCGAGTTTTTCAGCCCACTTTTTGGGCTGAAAAAAGCCACCTCGGCTTATACTCG